ACCACAAAAAAATTTTGTGGTCGTATATTGGTATGACGCTGGCGTCGTCCGAAGACACATTGGTTTTCGCACTTTAACTTTAGTTTAAGTAAATGGATCTTTATGGAATTTTACCATAAGGTTCAATACCACAAAAGGAAGGCTGGGATTGATTTTGGGGGTTATGGTACCAACAGTTAAGGAATTAGGGGCCAAAAAGGGACCAAAAATAAGCATTTTTGTAACTTCAAGACATAACTTGTGTGTTAGTGTATGGATCTCTCTGACATTGTACCAAAAGGTTCCATATCACAAAGGGAATGCTGGAATTGATTTTGGGGGTAATTGCCGCAAAATTTTAGGAATAAAGGGCCAAAACAGGGGCAAAAAAACAAGCATTTGTCTAGTTTCATGACAATAACATGTGTGTTAATGTATGGATCTTTCTAAAATTGTACTACAAGGTTACGTATCACAAAGGGAAAGCTGGAATTGTGTTTGGGGGTAATTGCCCAAAACGTTTCGGAATAAGGGGCCAAAAAAGGGGCAAAAATAAGCATTTTTCTAGTTTCCAGACAATAAATTGTGTTCAAGTGTATGGATCTCTCTGAAATTGTATGAAAGGTAACATACTACAAAGGGAAGGCTGGGATGGATTTTGGGGGTAATTGCCTCAAAATTTTAGGAATAAGGGACCAAAAAAGGGGCAAAAACAAGCATTTTTCTAGTTTGAAGACAATAACTTGTGTGTTAGTGTATGGATCTTTCTGAAATTGTACTACAAGGTTCCATATTACAAAGGGAAAGCTGGAATTGAGTTTGGGGGTAATTGCCCAAAACGTTGAGGAAAAAGGGGCCAAAAATAAGCATTTTTTTCTAGTTTCCAGAGAATAACTTGTGTTCAAGTTTATGGATCTCTCTTAAATTGTACTGCAAGGTACCATACCACAAAGGGAAGGCTGGGATTGATTTTGGGGGTAATTGCCTCAAAATTTCAGGAATTAAGGGCAAAAAACAAGCATTTTTCTAGTTTAAGGACCATTACTTGTGTGTAAGTGTATGGATCTTTATGAAATTGTACTACAAGGTTCCATATCACATAGGGAAAGCTGGGTTAGAGTTTGGGGGTAATTGCCCTAAATGTTTAGGAATTTGAGGCCAAAAAGGGTCCAAAAAACAAGCATTTTTTTATTTTCCAGACAATAACTTGTGTTCAAGTGTATGGATCACTCTGAAATTGTACTGCAAGGTAGCATACAACAAAGGGAAGGCTGGGATTGAGTTTGGGGGTGATTAATCATAAGGGGGTTCCCCTTTTTTTTTCTTTATAATTTTCCATTTTTAATTGGTTATTTCTGATTTATATATAAAAGCAAAATAACAAGGCCACACCAATTTGATTTTTAGTTCTTCGGACAAAAGCTCCAAAAAATATGGGAAGAGCGAGCGAAATTTTTTTGATTGTATTTATTTCTTGAAAATGAGTTTTGTTGAGGCGGGTGCTCTACAAGCACTACAAAAGTCTAAAAGTCTGAAAAGACCAGTTTTTGTCTTAATTTGCATGAACTTTTACTCGACATTCTCCAAAAGTATGACTTGTGTCTTAATTTTTCTTGACAAATTCTCATTTATATTAAATTTGTATGAAATTTACTCGACATATTCTCGACATTCTGAATATGGTCTTAAAATTTCTTGACAAATTCTTGACATTTGAATACTGTCTTGAAATTTCTCGACATATTCTCGACATTCTAATTTTTTCTCAGTATGGCTTGATATATTCTGAACATTTTGAATCGTGTCTTAAATTTACTTGACAGTTCTGAGTTTTACAAATCATGACCAATATTCATGATATAACTTTAATCTTTATTTCTCTTTATTAATATACTGTTGTTTCAAGTTACACTTCTTTACAACAAAAATAAAAGTTGGGCATGTAAAATAATTGAAAATTTGGGTATATAAATATTTTAACAAATGCAAATATGGCTATAATCTAAAGTATAAAATAATTCAAATGTGGGTGTGTTGATATAAAACAATTTCAATGTGGGTTTTTAAATCATTACAAATTTTGATTCCTAAATCTTATAAATTAAATGATTCAAACCAATCATACTGTAGACATATTTCATTCTACATTCATAATATTCAATGTTGATATGGTAAATAATTATTATACCAAAATGTGGTTTTTATATAAATAGCAAATTATGATATACAAATCATTCATTTAACAGAAGAAAAATTTGTGTAATGTCATCTGTTGGAATATATTAAGTATTACACATGGACAGGATGTTCCCCATAAAATTAAGGTATTCCACACCCCAGAGTACACGCAACTGTCAAATAGAAGTTATTGCTTTACCTGTAATCAGCCATACAACTTATCAGTTGACCGACCATGCCACTACACTTTAAAAAGTTTGTTGATAGGTGAAAATGAAAATCATCTTTTTGATGAAAAAAAATTGAATTGAAATGGATTTTCTTCATCAAAATTATGAAGTTAATTATTTTAATATAAAAACAAATTGATAAACCCAAAGATTAAAAGAAAATTATTATCTACTCCAGGAATAATAAAAAAAATGTATTTATAATGGGTCCCATCAATGATTTCTATAGAAATCATCGGTCTTATGAAATGGTTCTCAAACAGAAATGCATAATATAGATCTAAACATTTTTTTCTTTTCAGGAAGGAGTTATCACAAATATTTATTTTTGATAAAAAATTATAAAATTCAACACTCAAATTTGAATAAAAAATGTTTTTGGGTTGTTCTAAAAAATGAATAAGGTTTTTGAATCAAGATGGGAACAAATTCTTTGACCTAAACGAAAGCCCCCCCCTCTTTTTTTAGCCACACAAACCCAAAAGATGAATTGTGGGGTCCAAAAGAAATACAAGACACCTATTTTAGTAAAGCAAATTTGACTGGCAGTTTTGCGAACGGCAAAAATCTAAATGCTGTTTGTCAATACCTTCGACTTATATTCCAAGTGAAAACAATTACTTAAATGTTTAATAAAAATAAATCAAAATTAAACTACATGGGGGATTATTCAGGGTATTCCAACTTAGTTGCACCAAAAGGGTATCTTACTTTACCAAATTAATCCTTGATTCTACAAAGTTTAGTTTAGCCATAATAAAAAGGAGTATATAACAGCAATACAATGTCATAAACAGTGCAGAATAAGTCTGTTCACATTACAGGCGAAATTTATACTGTTGAGATAGTGTCAAGACATATTTAAGACTGTCAAGAATGTGTCGAGACATATTCAGACATTATTTAGAATGTCAAGAATATGTCGAGACATACTCAGACATTATTAAGAATGTCAAGAATATGTCAAGACAGATCGAGACAAATTTAAGACAGTCAAGAATTGGTCGAGACTAATCCAGACTCTTATCAGATGATACAGGAAGTGTCGAGAAATTTTAAGACAATGTTCATACTGTCAAGACACTTGTCAAGAAAAATCAAGAACCTTATTAGACAAATTCATACTATGTCAAGAATTTTTAAAAATTATTCAGACAAATTAAGAATGTCGAGTAAAAATTCATGCAAATTCAGACAAAAACTGGTCTTTTCAGACTTTTTGACTTTTGTAGTGAAGTGGAGCGAGCGGTATAATTTTTTTTTTAAATTGTGCGATTTAGAATATTTGTACATGTTAAAACTGGGTTACTTCAAAGAAAAAGGAGGATAAACATGCTCTTATGCATATAAGTTGATGTATTTGTGCCTGTAGTACAGTCTGTACCATACCCAACTTTTTGGTTCGCTTTGGTTTAGTATAATTTTGATTATTTTCGTCAAATAAGCTTTGACTGCGTGAATTTTCATTTAAATTCATACATGTGTATATATTAAGGAAGCATATCAGATGCAGTTTAGCAAGAGGAATTATGTTAGTTAGGTAAATGAAATGTGTTGAATACAATTCAAATATGTGTATGTATTCCAAAAAAATGCCCTTGAAAAATATTAAATATCTTTTGGTATAGTTTATTGGCTGCTTGACATCCAGTTGGAACTATTTATCCATAATAGGATCAACATAATGAGTGAGGTGAATATTTCAACAACATCCTGAGTAAGATAATTATATTGCTATGCATGTTGATCTCAATGTATTAAAACATTTAATCCCGCTGCAAATGTTTGCACCTGTCCTAAGTCAGGAATCTGATGTACAGTAGTGTCTGTTTATGTAGTTCATACGTGTTTCTCGTTTCTCGTTTTTATATAGATTAGACAGCTGGTTTTCCCGTTTGCATGGTTTTACACTAGTAATTTTTGGGGCCCTTTATAGCTTGCTGTTCGGTGTGAGCCAAGGCTCCGTGTTGAAGGCCGTACCTTGACCTATAATGGTTTACTTTTATAAATTGTTACTTGGATGGAGAGTTGTCTCATTGGCACTCATACCACATCTTCCTATATCTATTCCCTTAAAATACATTTAACCACATTCACATGCATTATTCTGACTTAGAAAAATACTTTTTCCTTTTGCCCCTGAAACCCGTAATGTATTTCAAACTGGAAGTGGTTGCACCAATAACACATCCCTAATTATTATTAGCATGCTAATCCCAATACCACCACTTTGGTCTCGAATGTTGGAACTCTTAAATTTTTCCTTACAAAAGAGTTTGATTGCATGTCAATAGACTAACAAGGGGATATGGGGTTTTCATTAAAATAAGATAAATCTGTCATTTTTCAAAAATTCATGTGAATTTAATATTAATTTCATCCAAGACAAATAGCTCTAGATATCTATGCCTGTTGTAGTCCGAGATTACTCTGATGTCCAACGGCTGTTTTGCCAGACAAGCTGGGGCCGTGGGACAACAGCCCCCCATCTTGTCTGGCAAACAGATGTTGGACGTCGGAGTAATCTCGGACTATGTTTGTTGAAACAATGATCGGGGATGACAATGGTTCTAACAAGAACTGATGTGATCATGGTCATCTAAACGAACGATTTTTATACGACCGCAAAAATTAAAAATTTTTTGGTCGTATATTGGTATGACGTTGGCGTCGTCGTCGTCGTCGTCGTCTGGCGTCGTCCGGCGTCGTCCGAAGACACATTGGTTTTCGCACTCTAACTTTAGTTTAAGTGAATGGATCTCCATGAAATTTTACCATAAGGTTCAATACCACGAAAGGAAGGTTGGGATTGATTTTGGGGGTTATGGTACCAACAGTTAAGGAATTAGGGGCCAAAAAGGGGCCAAAAATAAGCATTTTTGTAACTTCCAGACAATAACTTGTGTGTAAGTGTATGGATCTCTCTGACATTGTACCACAAGATTCCATATCACAAAGGGAAGGCTGTAATTGATTTTGGGGGTAATTGCCTCCAAATTTTAGGAATTAGGGGCCAAAAAAGGTGCAAAAAACAAGCATTTTTCTAGTTTCATGACAATAACTTGTGTGTAAGTGTTTAGATATTTCTGAAATTGTACTACAAGGTTCCATATCACAAAGGGAAAGCTGGAATTGAGTTTGGGGGTAATTGCCCCAAACGTTTAGGAATTGGGGGCCAAAAAGGGGCCAAAAATAAGCATTTTTCTAGTTTCCAGACAATAACTTGTGTTTAAGTGTATAGATCTCTCTGAAATTGTACTGCAAGGTACCATACCACAAAGGGAAGGCTGGAATTGAGTTTGGGGGTGATGAATCATAGGGGGGTTCATAAAATTTGGGGGGGGGGATTTTTTTTTTCTTTTTTTCCTTTTTTTTTTCTTTTAAAATTTTCCATTTTAAGTTGGTTATTTCTGATTAATATTTAAAAGCAAATAATAATGATATGGTAGGAGATACACACCAAACAGGATGTGTAAATTATTATATAATAAGTATTGTGCAATAGCAAGAAATCTTCAATTGCACAGTATTGCGCAATAGCAAGAAATCTTCAATTGCACAGTATTGCGCAATAGCAAGAAATATCCAATAGCACAATATTGCGCAATAGCAAGAAATTGTCAATTGCACAGTATTGTGCAAAAGAAGATACTTCGTATAAATAGCTTATTTCTTGATCAATTTCAATGGGGTTTTATTCTTGAATTCTTGGGGTTCTTTAATATGCTGAATCTAATCGTGTATTAAGTTTTTGGATTTTGGGCCCCGTTTTTAAATTGGTCCACATTGAGGTCCAAAGGGTCCAAAATTTAACTTTGTTTGATTTCATCAAAAATTGAATTATTGGGGTTCTTTGATATGCCGAATCTAACCGTGTATTTAGATTCTTAATTTTTGGTTCCGTTTTCAAATTGGTCTACATTAAGGTCCAAAGGGTCCAAAATTAAACTTAGTTTGATTTTAACAAAAATTGAATTTTTAGTGTTCTTTGATATGCTGAATCTAAACATGTATTTAGATTTTTGATTATGGGCCCAGTTTTCAAGTTGGTCCAAATCGGGGTCCAAAATTAAACTTTGTTTGATTTCAACAAAAATTGAATATATGGGATTCTTTGATATGCTGAATCTAACCATGTATTTAGATTTTTGATTTTTGGGCCCCGTTATCAACTTTGTCCACATTGAGGTCAAAAGGGTCCAAAATTAAACTTTGTTTGATTTCATCAAAAATTGAATTCTTGGGGTTCTTTGATATGCTGAATCTAACCATGTATTTAGATTTTGGATATTGGACCATAATAGGTGAATGTCCAATTTAAAATTTTTAAGTTCTTAGACCACATTCATTCTGTGTCAGAAACCTATGCTGTGTCAAATATTTAATCACAATCCAAATTCAGAGCTGTATCAAGCTTGAATGTTGTGTCCATACTTGCCCCAACTGTTCAGGGTTCGACCTCTGCGGTCGTATCAAGCTGCGCCCTGCGGAGCATTTTATTTATTTTTGTCTCCTAGAACAGGTAAGACGAAATGCATTTCAAATAACTGTGTGTTTAATAACTACGTGTCCTCGGCAATGATCTGACACAACTTCATGTTGGCATCCCGATTTTTGACCTTTTATTTACAAATCGATTTATCACACGAGCGTTTGAATCGCTCGGAGCAATATATGCACGAGAAAAACGTCTAAGAGAAAAAAAAATGTCAAGGATAAACTAATTTTGGAGCGGCATGCGGCCCAAAAATTGGCGGAAGCGGTAATTATTTTTTTTTCTTGAAAAGTCAATTTCTCCAAAACAGGAGCGGGAAAATCCAAAGAACTATTAATCAAATTGGTGTGGCCTTAAATGATATGGTTTGAATAGGTAAATTAAAATTTTTTAAGTTCTTGGACCACATTCATTCTGAGTAGAGAACCACTGAATGGATTAAACCAAACATTGCATGAATGTTCCTTATGAGATGCTGACCAAATGTTGTTACTTTGAAGCCGATCCATCGTCCAAGATGGCCGCCAGCGGGGGACTTGTTTAACATAGGACCCTATGGACAATACATACAAATGTCTTCTTTTAGAGAACCACTGAATGGAATGAAACCAAACATGGCATGAATGTTCATTATGAGGTGCTGACCAAGTTTTGTTACTTTGAAGCCAATCCATTATCCAAGATGGTCGCCAGAGTTTAACAAAGGACCCTACGGACAATACATACAGATGTCTTCTTTTAGAGAACCACTGAATGGAATGAAACCAAACATGGCATGAATGTTCCTTATGAGGTGCTGACCAAGTGTTGTAACTTTGTAGCCGATCCATCATCCAAGATGGCCGCCAGAGAGGGACTTAGTTTAACATAGGACCTTATGGGAAATACATACAAATGTCTTCTTTTAGGGAACCACTTAATGGAATGAAATAAAATAAAGCATGAATGTTTCTTATGAGGTGCTGACCAAGTGTTGTAACTTTGTAGCCGATCCATTATCCAAGATGGCTGCCAGCAGGGGACTTCATTTAACATAGGACCCTATGGTCAATACATACAAATGTCTTCTTTTAGAGAACCACAGAATGGAATGAAACCAAATATGGCATGAATGTTTCTTATGAGGTGCTGACCAAGTGTTGCTACTTTGTTGCCGATCCATAATCCAAGATGGCCGCCAGGGGGGGGGGGCTTAGTTTAACATAGGACCCTATGGACAATACATACAAATGTCTTCTTTTAGAGAACCACTGAATGGAATGAAATAATACATGACAAGAATGTTCCTTATGAGGTGCTTACCAAATGTTGTAACTTTGTAGGCGATCCATAATCCAAGATGGCCACCAGCGGGGACTTACATGTTGTTTAACATAGGACCCTATGGACAATACATACAAATGTCTTCTTTTAGAGAACCACTGAATGGAATGAAACCAAACATGGCATGAATGTTCCTTATGAGGTGCTGACCAAGTGTTGTTACTTTGAAGCCAATCCATCATCCAAGATGGTCGCCAGTGGGGGACTTAGTTTAACACAGGACCCTATGGGAAATACATACAAGTGTCTTCTTTTAGAGAACCACTAAATGGAATGAAATAAAACATGACATGAATGTTCCTAATGAGGTGCTGGCCAAGTGTTATTACTTTGTAGCCAATCAAATTCAACCAAGATGGCTGCCAACGATAGAATAAGTTTAACAAAGGACCCTACGGGAAATATATACAAATGGCTTCTTCTAGAAAACCGCTTAATGGATTGAAATGAAACATGGTACGAATGTTTCTTTTGAGGTGCTGACCAAGTGTTGTTACTTTGTAGCTGATTTGTCATCCAAGATAGCTGCCAGCAGGGGGAGTAAGTTTAACATAAGACCCTATGGAAAATACATACAAATGCTTCTTCTAGAGGAGCACTGAATGGAATGAAACTAAACATGGCATAAATGTTCCTTATGAGGTGCTGATGAACATGTGAAGAACTTAATACATTTATCTTTATAGATTGAGATCTACTGTAAACTGCAAAAATATCAAGAAAAGAAGATCCACACATAAGTCAACATGAGCAATATTGTCTATTGACATCTTGTTGAAGATATTGTCCTTAAAAAGTCATTTCTACAGTTTCAATGAATTTATTGGTAATTTCTGTAAACTTTACAAAAGTCTTCTGCTTTTGATTTAATTACGGGGCCAAAATTAAACAAAATTTGGTCTCAATCATTATTAGGGTATCTGTTATGTTTTAATCTATTTTTACGTGATTTCCAAAACCAAAGTAGAATCAGGTGAGAGACACGGGCTCTTGAGAGCCTCTAGTTTATTTTTTTTATCCTTTAACAATGAAGTTGAGCCTGATATATTTCAATCACAGAAAAATCAAAGTGTCAGTGAGTTGTCCTAACCTCTGCAGATTAGAATAGACATGTGGAATCTCTTTGTGCATCTTTAACCTCTAGACTTTTGTCTCCTCAAATTCAATTACCTCTACCATGTCTAATGTATGTGACTTTTTTTTTACATTACACTATATTGCTACATGTACATGTATATAATACAGTATTAAAGAAAATTTATACTTTCGTTCTGGAGGAAAATGACAGCTTAAGTAATATTGATAGACGAATGCCAAGTGATGACTTGAGACCTACATGACATGTAAGCACATAGGAGACGATGAATGCCAAGTGACGCCCCTAACACATTGTATGTGATCCTGGATACTACTGTGCTTTATGATTACCTCAAGACCTGTAACTTAAATTTGGAGATCCTCTTATATAATAGTTTCTTCAAGTGTTGCTCTTTAACCCTGGAACAGCTGGTGCCAAATTATACTCAACATAAACATGTACATGTATATACAACATGGGACCAAACGCTACAGTCTCTCAACTTGTCTTTAAGATGAAGAACCACAATTACTGACCATATAAAAACCAGAACCAGACAAATGACTAAACCTGACGCAAGTACTTCGACAAATTGATAAGGCTGTTGATAACAAAGGCTTGATAAAGTTTCACTTTTATTATATAATATAAGTTTGCCCTTTGGGAGTCAGTATCTCAGCTGGGAAAATTTTGCTCCAGGCCCTGTCGACGACTCTTGGTATAGTGGGTAGCCAAGCCCCGTGGACATGGACACTCCGCCAATCAACTGGAACGCAGAGGGTTCCAAAAGGGGATGAAGCGATGCTTCATCTCCTAGCAGGGTGCTACGAAAAGGGGTTGAATTGACGGTGGAGAGATGAAAAGTAGTTAATTACTTGGGGATAA